AACTGCATCAACTTGTCACTGTGTGTAATTTAAACTTACATTTCTACATTAATTCAGTAAACTAAGATTATTATTAAGTATTATCACCAAAATATAGTTGAGATATAAAAATAAAATCAGACACCAAAATAAGCTGGTTTTGTTCTACTGTTGCACTATTATTACAAATGCAAAAAAAAAAAAAAACATTCTTGAAGCTCACTGAAGTGAAGCACATTTTATTGCCAGATAGTTTCATTCATTGTATAACAATTTATTGCATTATCCATGATATCATGATAGTCATAATCTGTGATGTAACCACAACTTAAGTATAATGCATCCCCATGAAATGCAGTGAAACAGAAAGGCAGTATAAGATTAAAACACTCAAAGTGGCGCAGTTGGGTAGCACTGTAGCCTCACAGCAAGAAGGCCACCGGTGGGACACCCGGGATCTTTCTGTGTGGAGTCTCCATGTTCTCCCCGTGCAGCGTGGGTTCTCTCCAGGTTCTCTGGCTTCCTCCCACAAGGTCCAAAAATATGTTGAGGTTAATTGGTGATTCTAAATTGTTTGTAGGTGTGAATGTGAGTGTGCTTGGTTGTCTGTCTCTAAGTCCAGGGTGTCTCCTGCCTTCACCCTGAGTCAGCTGGGATAGACTCCAGCCCCCCCACCGGGCCAAGTGAGGATTAAGCGGTGTATGGATAATGAGTTGCGCTCTAGCAGGCGGCAGTAGTTGCATAAACCCAGGCTACTCAGTTACTTTACATACATACATACATACATACATAAACCAGACAGTCTGGCAGCGACCCCAGTTTTTTGCATTTTTTGCATCTGAAAAACTGCCCGGAAGTACAGAGCAGGAACAGGGCCCCTTATCAGCGCCTGAATATTCATATCTGCTGTGCAGCCTGGGTGAAGTATGTGCTAACTGTCCTGTAGCCGCCCCCCTTTCTTCAGCAGCGCAGGCCATTCAAGGTGCAAATAGGCCACTCAGACGATCCGGGACGGTCCGGAAGTCGTGCTTCTATTGAAAGTAGGCACAGAGTTCAGCAGACACAATCATGAAATAAACCGTCCGAAATCATACCCAACATAAGTAAAAGCAAAGCAAAAAAAGAAGAAGAAGAAGAGGAAAAAAATGAATAAAAGTAAAAATAAAACACCAAAAATCAAAGCAGATAACGCGATTTTACGCACGCGTTTCAGAAACACCAAAAAACACCAAAAAAGTACTATAACGCGTGCGCGTAAAATTCTCAAAGAAAAAAGAAAAACAATATTCGAGACTTACAAAATGCCATCCCTGTACGAAAGACTTGAAGCTGTAAGCTGTCACTGTGTGCTATTTGAACTTAAATTTCTACATTAATT